GGGGGAGGGGATGGAAAAAAGGGAAAGAAAAAAAAAAAAAAAGAGCAAGGGAGGAGGGAGGGGGAGGGCCGAGGGGAGCAGAGGCAGAGCCCCTCGGATGGGATGGGATGTGGGATGGGATGAAGGGACGGGACTCTGCCTGCGGGGCGGGGAGTGCATCGCCGCGGGGAGCCGGGGTGACCCGAGCAGAGCTGGGGCGGGAGCGGCTGCTGGGAGAGTAGGGGAAGGCGGGGACGGGAAGGGGAGGCGGCGGGGCCCCGAGCCGGGAGGGTGTCCTCCCCTGGGGCGCCTCGCTCCGCTCGGACCACTCTCCTCAGGGCGTCGGAGGCCGGGGAGAAACGTTCTTCTCCTTTTCTTGCTTCTCAGAATCACAGAATCGCAGGGGTTGGAAGGGACCTCAGGAGATGATCGAGTCCAACCTCCCTGCTAATCAAATACCCTACAACAGTTCATACATGTAGGCATCCAGACATGTCTTGAGTATCTCTGTAGAAGGAGACTCTACAACCTCTCTGAGCAAGCTGTTCCAGTGCTCCATCACCCTTACTGTAGCGAAGTTCTTCCATATGGGACTTCCTATGTACAAATTTTAGGCAGTTACTCCTCATCCTACCGCTATGCACCACCAAGAGAACCTGGCTTCATCCATTTGCCTCCTACCCGCCTTCACATATTTGTAAAATTGATCAGATTCCTCCTCAGTCTTCTTTTCACGAGGCTGAACAGACCCAGGTCCCTCTTTTTCTAACCTCTCTTTCTGCCTTCCCATGCCCTGGAGCAGAGAGCTCCCAGAACCTTGCTAGTTGTAGCCTTGTGTGGAATTGGAGCGCTGGAGCTTTGGTGACCCTTCCCCCACCACTCCCTTTGAGACCTTGGGCTGGGGTTTTCTGCTCCATATGTCCTGTCCCAGTGTGGGAACAGTGTGGGACTTCTGAAGAGATCAGGAGACCCAGCTGGTGTCCACAGCCCTCTGCCCTACAAGTACTCCTGAAGCATTCCGGCGCTATGTAGATATGCCACATGAAGAAACTCATTTATTAAGGAGTTTTGCAAGTGCTTGACTTGAGCCATTTCAATGAGCTCATCTGCTGAAAACAGCTCCTGCAAGATGATGGCCTGCTTGGTTTGCCAAAACCAGCAGGAAATTTGTGACATTGTTAGAGATCAAATTGAGATCTCCAGAGTGCTATTTAATGTCTCAAGGATAAGAATATCTTTCCTTTCAAAGACTTTAGTTTTGAAATTTGGTGTATCTATTATATGAATAGGATGGAAATAAACTATTGGCCGTTCTTCATGATGTTCATTTTCTTGCAGTTTTGCTTGTGTTGCTGTTTGCCTGTACAACTTCAAACCAAAGCATAATGGTAATTATTTATGCACCTGAGAAAATAAGCTGAACAAAGTCCATTTTACTAGACATGGAGAGATAGAAATCCACGTTACGAGGCAGTTATGTTTTGCTAGCAATTTCTTCAACATGAAGAACATGTGGATCAGTCCGAAGATTTTTAAACCAAAAGCATATGAAAGAGTATTAGTGCAGGGCAAGATCATACGGTATTCCTCTAGAGAACTTTCCCTACCACCAATATTTCAGTCTCAGCAATTTTCTGAGGAATATATCATTTCTATGCACTTAATAACCTTTACCTTCCCTTAAACCTATGTAGACTTTTAGTGTCCACAACTGGCTGTTGTGGCTAGTTCCAAAGGTCAGCAAAACCATATGCCAAACCTGTCTCTGTGTATTGTCAACCTCGCTACTGCTAGCTTGCTTACACTCACTTAGAGACACCCTTCATGTGTCACATCTAAATGTGCAGGTCTCCGTCATAGAGATTCTGTAGCCACTCTCTCACCTTGAAGGATTCTAGCTAAGTTAGCTGTTGTTTTATGTGAAAATAACTCATTTTTTTCCATTCTACTGCTGATGCACATGGACTAGAACATCATCTGAAGGATGATGGGGGCAAACACTTCTTGGTAGTGGCAAGTACAAAACGAGGAGCAACAGCCACGTGCATTGGGAAGCTGTGCTGTATTAACAGTTGCAGCCTGGGACGTTCAGCTTGGACATCAGAACCAAACCACCAAAAGGGTCATAGGATCACAGAATCTTTAGAGTTGGAAGGGACCTTTAAAGGTCATTTAGTCCAACTCCCTTGCAACAAACAGGGACATGCACAGCTAGATCAGGTATCCCAGGGCTTAATCCAGTCTTGCCTTTAAAGTCTCCAGGGATGGGGCATCAGCCACACCTCTGGGCAGCCCAGAGTCATGCAGCATTGGCACAAGGTGTGCAGAGAGGTTGTGGAATCACTGCCCTTTGTGGTTTTCAGCCTTCAGCTAGACAGAGCCAAAGACTTGATCCGGTGCTGGCAGTAGTCCTCTGTCAAGTGGCAGCCTGGTCCGGGTGACCTGCAGAGGTCCCTCTCAACCAATATTTCTATGATTCTTTACCTCAAGATGCAGCACAAAGGTGTTCTCTGTCCTGTCCTGTGCTGATTTCCCAGCATCTCCTAGTTTTGTGGCTGTGGGGTTTTTTTGTTTGTTTTTGTGGTTTTTTTTTTGACAGACGTCGAGCACTACACTGATGTTCTTGTGGAACTGCTTTCAAAACTCCATCACTCTCCCAAGAAGCACTGACCAGAGGACCTGCATTTTCATCTGTGAAGTAAGGACCGTTTTTTCCCATGTGAACCACTTCACATTTGTCTAAATGGAACTCCATCCACCATTCTATTGCACGGTCATTCCCCTTCACAAATTTTCCTGAAGTCCTTTGCTTTGTCTTTATTAACCTGTATAATTTGGAAGCCTCACCAGACTGTGTGATCCACAGATCCCTTTTCCAGATCATTTATGAACATGCAGAATAGCTCAGGGTGCAACAGGCTGTTACTGCTAAACTGTCACCTCTACAAAAATTAGTTACTTAGTACTATATTCTATTTCTTGTTTTTCAGAAAATTAGGCTAAGAGAGGTTTGTTTCATTATGTGAACTCAGGGTAACGGCACCAGTTTGCTCATGTCGTATCACCCCACTCTATCCTGCTTTCTCAATCTGCTGCAGGTTACTTAACCTTCTAAATTTTTCTTTTTATCTTGGAAAATTGGCTAATAGGATATTTCCTGATTTCACATTTCTGCCTCATCTCAGGTGACATTCACTGGAAGTTGTCAAGATAAATGAAAAGTCTAAAAATTGGGAAAAAATAAACTATTTTAATAAGTATAATCTCTATATATGTTTTCTATTTTTCTTCTTCATTTTTAACCAGGTTCTTGAACACTGTTTCATTACAATTATTTTATTTCTCACAATAGTAAGATTATACACTGTGGATTATTCTTAGTGCAAATTTAAAGATTCTGGAGGGAGAGAAAAAGTAATTATTGCATTAAAAAGTACCTCAAAATAACTAAAGATTGCAAAAAGACATCAAGAATTTGTATTTCATAGTAATGATTTTTTAGAAGCATGCTGTATAATATACATGGTAGGGCTGTACAAATATAATTGTTGGGAAAGTTCCAGCATGCTAATTTTATCCTTCAGAAGTAATTTTACCTCATTAGAAGACTAGTGAGCCCTTATGGTATTTTTACATGTCCCAAAAATAAGTTTGACATCATATACCAACTGAGAGACCTTCACATGGAACTAAGCTTTGAAAGTCTGATGCCTAAAATAAAAGAGGGAGGAAAAGTGAAAAGAAACTAAGTATTAACATAAACAATTTACTGTTTTCTATTGAAGTTTTTCCCTGTGGATCTATGGAGAAAATAAAGCAAGTTTTTACCATCAGATTTGAATGCACTCACAGAACTGTAATTAGTGGAAGGTAGATAATTCACAAAATGAGCTACAAAATGTTTCCAAATAAGATTCTCTTGTATGTATATATATATATATGTGTATATATTTTTTTTAATGGTTTTTTTTTTTTTTTTTTCATGTAGAAATCTGAGATAGGAGCCTCAGCTTTCCATGTGGGCAGCACACACAGGGTGTGGACGCACCGGCTGCACAGCCACTCCCGGAATGCAGTCTGGCCTTACAAGGCTGGACAAATGCATTCTGCTCCCAGACAGGTTTTGCATACATACAAGTAGTTTTGGATCATAGCAAGAAAATGTCAGTCTCAGGATCTTACCCTATGTAATGCATTACGCCTCAATAGAAAGACAAGCTTACCTACAAAGTACTCTTTTGCATAAGAGCAAAGAGGGGAGAGAGAACAGAGATGCATCTCAGGAAAACAAAACAAAAAGTTGATAGATGTCAAAAAAGAACAGAAATGCTTATAACCAAATTAAAAGCTCAGCGTGCAGTCCCTTGCCACATTCAATGTGCAGACAGTAAGTCAGCTTTACTCTCTTCTTTCATTCCGTCCCCTCACTGCTCGTGTGCAGATGTGTACCTCATTCCAAAGCAAACAATTACTTGGGGAGTGCAGGTAAGCCCATTTGGTCTCCCTTTAATTCTCAAGCTCATCTCAATACTCTTCTAGTTCAGCAGATAGCATATATTTCACTTCCTTTTTACTTTCCCTTCCCCAAGAAGACTAATTTTATGAGCTTTGACACTTTTGCAGTCCCCAAACATTACACTCGCGATATCTCATTGGCTCATGATGAATGGTTGTGAGATAATTCCTACTGCTTTCAGAACAAAGGGATGTGAAATACAATAGATCTTTCTTACTGGATCAAGAATGGTCTCCATGGCAGTGTCTCTTCTGTAGCAGCTTGTTGCCACAGAAGCCCTTTTGTTATGTGGACCAGTTGGGCTTGGTTATTGTGCTGCTCAGAGGTTCCTGTGACACAGTGCTGACCGGTTAGACTAAGACGTTGAATGAAACAGACCTCTGTTAGAGACCCTGGCACTGAGGACTTGGAAAATACGCAATAACTGCAATAAATCACATCATTTTTCAAGAGTACACACAGCGAGGATAAAGAAGCATCACTGGCTCAGGAGGATTCTGCATAGACCGATGGACTATCACAGTGCATGCTGTGAGGCTGTTATTAAATTTAAATTGGGTATAGGTGTACAAGGGAGTATGGTGCCAGAACAAGGACATTAGCAATGAATGCAGCGTCATCAACAGAAGAACTTACAGATGAAAAAGAAATAAGTGCGTTATGGAACATAGGGCATCTGTATGAGACTTGATTTTCACCATGTGAGTATATGAAATAAGAGGTCAGGAGGAAAAGAAAAGAACAAAAAAAAAAATAACCCTACCATTTTGAGGTAGTACAAACAACAAAAAAAGATCCCATTTCTGAGTTAAAACCGTGTCAGACTTGTGGTCAAATCAAGAGGGTGCTTTCTTCAGTGAAGCAGAAAGAAGAAAAAAATGTGGAGATGTAGAAGAGTATGACCCACAGGAAGGAGACTCTGAATTGAAGGCCCAACCCCCAAGGGCTAAGTCCTGCCTTCCCTGGTTTTCACTCCCCCTACATCTGCAGCTAAAGAGAAAGCAGTACTAACTTGTTGCTCTGAGATTCTTACGGTTATAGAAAAGCACAGTTGGCTGTTCAGTCATCAGTGCTAAAACAGCAATGCTTAAAATTCTTACCTGATAAGAATCATGGAGATTAAATACATACATAGAGTGATCACTTTCCTTGTGGAAAATTTGCACAAGGAGAGGTATTTCTGGAGAACTGTCAGATGGCAAATATTTTATCCACCCAATATGTTGGCAAGTTGCCGGTTGGCACTATTAGGGGGTGAAAAATTCTAAAAACTAACTGAAGAAAAATCAAGCAAGTATTTTTGGGAGCATACTACTTTGAAGCAAATGGTTTCCTCCAATTGACACTCCCACTACACTGGAAAATAGAGTGAACCGTAGATGGTAAACAGAGTACAGTAATATCCGTAAGTGACATTTTGATGTGAGGAGAAAAGAAGTGAATGTCCAGAGTTTGAGAAGCTTTGGAAAAACACCTGACTTTGCCTGGCTAAAGCTGAATATTCATTCTCTCCCCAGGCCTCTAGATTACTATAATGGAAACAGCACACTGCAGTGGAAAATTAATAGAGTGATGGTGACATGTTAGATAAACTAAGATTTTTAGCTACCATCAGCGTAGTTGACACAACTGATGAGAAAGGGATTCTAGGGAAATTAAAACTATTGAGGGACATTGTGCCTAGTATCAATATTTAAACTGGAAGGAGGTCTTTGGGAGGGAGACACACGTCTTAAAAGCTTGAGAACTCATAAGAACTAACAAAAACATGTTACCTGAGAAAATTTGGCATTTGGCATAAAACTGAGTGCCTGTGGTAATGAAGCACTCTTCTTCTGGAAGCCCAGTCAAATGAGGAAAAGAAGCATTAACAGAAATTAAGTTTTGGAGAGCTCAAAAAGAGAAATCAAACAAACAACAACAAAAAATATAGATGTTGGCCATATCCATTGGTAATAAGAAATAAAGTATTCTCTTATGTGAGGCCACTTTTGACTGAAGGTGACCATAAACTATTTACTACTATCACAAAGATGCCCAGGAGAGTACAAGATTAGTTTTTCAGCTACCACTGCATACACTGGATAAAAAAATAGGGAAAAAAAAAAACAAAACAGCATGCTTTAAAGAATCATTGATTTAACTGCATTCCAGAACAGCATTGCATCAAAAGGCAGATCTGACTGTTTATTCTTAGTAAGCTGTGTGTATGAAGAAAGAGTTGAAGAAAACCTGGTGATGCCCTTTTCAAATTCCATTCACAATCCTAAAATAGCTGGATGTTTCTGCTAAAATTGTTAACAGCCTAATAGCTAATAATGTTGAATTTTATAGGGTTTCATTTTAGACTTTAAGCTGAATATTCAGCCGAAATGAACCTAGTCGTTTTATACCTCTCAGAGTTGTAATTACTATCTTCTGCCTAGGAAAACAACACTGGAGTAATTGCCAAAATCCATGGTGAACACAGCATCAGATTTGCCAAGAATGCCTTGTTGCTGTCCAGAGCGTGTTAGGAGAAGATTATCTTTGGGTCTCTGCAGCTGGCAGGAGAAAATGAGGGCCAAACAACATCCAGGACATATTTTTAATGCTTCAATGTTCTGCTTCACATTCCACATAGATCTCTCCTGTGTCGTCTGTTCATATATTCTCACTCACCTCTGCAGAGCTGGTCAGGACACAGGCTATTAAGTGAGGGGAAGCACAGCTGCAGCTAACGTAATAGGGAATCTTTTCTGGGGGCGTTACTGAAGTACATAAATGCTCATTACTACCCTTCATGGCTCTAAAATCTCTACATATTTCTAATAGTTTTAATGTTTTCTGTAGGCTTTCAGCTTGCAGCTGGAATCATTTCCACATGCCAACAGCTCAGTGAAAAAAAAAGAGAAGGGAGGCAGAAAGGCTTTGCCCTGAGCAGAGTCCCCTTTGCACTTTCTCAGTGTCAACTTCTGCAGCAGCATTTGCACAGAATCCCATTTCCTGTCAGTCCTTGTGACCTTGCTATTGCTCTAAGGATTTCCAAAGGTCCAGTGTCATTCCCAAGATGTTACAGGCAGAAGTGTCCTCAAAGAAAACCCACAGTAAATATGAATAGATACTGAGGGATGGCTTAGCTTATATTCTAGGTATTGTGCTTTTTTTTTTCAAAGCCTGACCTAAAGTTCACATTTTTCTTAGTCAAGAGGTCTTTTCAGACTGTCCTGCAACTCGCCTTCTTTCACTGCCACTTGTTACCCTTCCAGGCTCAGGCAAGGTGCATCCTTATTCAGTCAGAGGGACTGGCTGGTGCCTTTCTCAGAACAGTAGCACCTTGACTGAGGAAAGTCAGAAGGGGCAAGATTCAGCATGCATTTTTTTCTCTTGAGGCAGGCTAAGAACTAGCAAAATATGTTAATGGACCTGAAAAGAAAGTAGAAATTAGAAAATATGTTATTGTTACATTTTTCCAAAGCTGTTTGAGAAAAAATAAGGGGATGAGTCTTAGAAAAACAGAAGCTGCTAACCATGGTGTGAGCTGAATATCTTAGAATATTCTGTTTGTTTATTTCTGCATTAAAACTCTCTAGCATGCTGTCAAGTTATAACGCTTGTAGCAAAACATGCAGTGAAAGCAGAGCATAGAGGATTGCTAATGATAGCTGCAAGCTGTTTATATCAGACCAGTGCTTTCAGAGGTGTTGTCTATACCACGCCAGATCAACAGTAGCACGTTGGAGTCCTTTTCATCCCAGCAGACCTACAGTTTTCATTTCAAATGACTTTGTGAACATACTACAGAATCCATTGTTGGTAGCAAATTCCATGGCCCTACAGATCATTTCATACCAATGTGATATTCTTCTTTGATTTACCTGCTAGCACAGCTGGTGAGGTATAAGAGACAAACCAAAAGCCCAAATGAGATGGTGGAAGGACTTTTTTCACTTCACAAGCCTTTGTATCTGGTCTCAAGAGAGAAAAATGATGGTGAAGATTTAATATCCGTGTAGATTCTCTTCCTCTACTCATTAAACTTTTTGCTTCTGATTATCTCTCCAGCCCGTAGTCTCCCTGAATTCTTTAACTGTAATAAAGAAAACAGATGCAAGAAGATGGACTTCAGAATGAATTTAATGCAAGTTAAAATAAATGGAAAATTATAGCCCCAACTTGTAATGGAAAACTGATATTCATCTGAAGAATTATCACTCATCCACGTACCTCTCCTTGGCCAAGATTTTTAAACTAACAACTGCATATGACTCAGTTACCAAATCCTCATTAGCAGTATGCATAGCCAAAACTCGCTGAGATGGGGCTTGTCTGTCTCTTATGTTTGCACGGACCTCACTTCATTTTCAGCAGAAGCCAATATTCCTATACATTATGAACAGAAACTGTGAAACTTCTCACTGGATAATTCTGTGTCGTGGCAAGAACAAGCTACAAGCCTCCAGCTGTTACTTCTTCCCTATTTCACTTTCTAGAAGATGCTGAGTATTGTTATGGTAGACTCCTCTCTCTCATCCAGTATCTTCCAGTCATTAAATATATGAGCAAGAACCATCCTCCCTCATCTGCTCCTGGTGTTGGCTCTCACCTCCTCATTTGGCTTTGAAATAAGCATCTCTGTTACTTCATTATGCCCTTTCAAATCCTTTCATAGAGCTCTCCCTTTCTGTGACGCTTATAGGATACTCACCACACTTAGGCTAACGATGGGCTGCAACCGAGCACCAAGTCTGTTATCATATTGTTCTCTCTCTGTAGTACCTTTTCTGCCCATATTCCCTTAAAGATATGTATTGGCTGACGACTGTAGAATCCCAGTTTAGGATGGAGATACTTTAAGCAATAACAGCACGAGTAAAGAAATTAATTTTTGCAGCAGGAGATGAACTACAGATGTGTACATACATTACTCTAGTTGCCACAAAGCTGGGTATTGGAGAGATTTAAATACATAGAGCTACTTTGCTTGTGCCAGTATCTGTTCTGTTTTAATCATAATTACTGACAGTACGCTGCTGCAGCAACAGCATTTCCACTTGAATATTTCAGTTTTAGCAGTTCATGAACTGCATGTAAGAAATATCCTCTGTTAAAAGTTGGCACTAAAGCTACAGCCTATGAGCAGTTTCTATTTAGTTCAGGAATTTTATCTAAGAACAAAAGATACAATTGCTGTTCCAGAAAACATTCTTTCATATTATCATGTTCAAAACTGACTTTGATGACATTGCTCTGTATTTCAATTATCTAAAATATGAACTTTTAGAAATATAATCCATTCACTGTTATCAGCTTTGTACTTCCTTGTCCTTTGATAGTGCTGAGTAGCAATAGGAACCCACTGGCTGCAGTCCCATGGATTGGAGGAAGAAACACAGAATGCCAAGAAGCATATGGAAATGCCCATTCCTTTGACTTTGGCAGCTATGTGCTGAAGACTATATGCCTAATTTACACGCTCACTACAGAAGAAAATGGCTTTTTGCCTTCCAAGTCAAATAAGCGCCTAGCCAGGAAGAAGGCTTCCCAGCCACTAACAACAGAATAAACAAAGGGGAGTCCTCCCTGACATTGTAAAACTCTTCCAGAGAGTGAGGTTTCCACTTTTGTTTGTAATTCCTTCTTCCAGTTTATTTTCTTTATTCTCCCTCATGGGAGGGCCTTACAATCTGTAGGTTTTACTCTTGCCTGTGCTGGGCCATATGACTCTTGCAGTGGTGGACTGAAGCTACAGTGGCCTTTAGGGACTCAGGCAATCCTTCTGCATCTTTTCCGACAGATCTGTCAAATCACAGGGCAGGAGACAGCAAAATCCCAGTGTGGTTGGCTTGACTTGCATTTAGCATATGATCAAAGACTGCCTGCTGCCAAATTTTCCCACAGCTGGATACATTTGACCTAGGTCTAGTGTATTTGCCTCGCTACATGGAACTTGATGAAAATCTGACTGAGGATGTGGCACCTAGCATATTTAGAAAGGGAACATGGACTCTGTAACATCATAAATGTAATACCTGATGAAGTTTGTGCAGCAATTTATTAGAATTTCCCAAGCTGTGTGGTTACACAGAGCTAGACCAAAATAACCTCTCTCCACATACTGCTGTAACTGTACATGTAAGTGGAGCAATGCACACAATGCACATGTGCGTTTGCTGAAACAAAGTAATGCAGGCATGTCCTTTCTGCAATAACGTTAAATGGTTGAGTTAATTAATTCATTTGATTAACTTGAATATCCTGTGACACAACAGTGCACTACAAGATCCACATGAGTGATATGAAACTAAAGAAGCAAATGTAATGGATCAAATTGGAAGACAAAATTCACTACGACCCTCTCATTATTTTCAAATGATGTGTACAAGCAGAGCCCACCAAAATTGCTATTGCAATTATGTGTGCATACTGAGTGGAGGATGCACCAACTTCTCACAGGAAAATTCCCCCAGGGCAGTAAATTGCTCATCCAGATTATTCATCAGGCTACAGAAAGCCAAGATTTTTAAGCAACAGTTACCAATTTGATAGTTTATGAATATGAGTCTAAGGTTAAAACTGCAGAAAATGAAGTCCGAAGGGAACGAGAAAAAAAAAAATAATGGGCAAATAGAGTGTCTGAATTTTCCTCATGTACATTAGCACAGCCATACTTTCTGCTGAAATGCAAATTGCATTCCTGCTTAGTAGTGCTATTATCTTAACTCTAAAATATTCAATTAATATTTTCCCAAACTGGATTCATTAGAAAACTACGATGGTATTCCCAGGGTATGGTCCTGACTTCACTAATTTTTTTCTTCTTCTACTTGTCAGAAAGCATGGGAAACACCCAAATCAGTTCCATTAACTGATTTCTTTTTAGTAAAACATATAGAATTGCAATTTGTTGGTCTCAGTTTAGTAATTCCTGAATGGGTCTTTTTGATATGACTACAGGGAAATGTCTTATTTACAAGATGTTCCTATTTTGCTTCAATGAAATATTTGTTTTGACTTCTAATATCTAATTGCAAAAAATAGATAGAATGAATTAATTACTGTCATTAATCAATAAAATAGTGAAATACTATTGAAAAAAGGTTTTAATGCATGAAGTTGGCCAAACTAACATTTTTTAAATGTTAACATTTGTGAATCTCAAATTTAATTGCTTGATGATAAGCAAGCATTACAAAAAACTGACAATGTCACTGAGGCTTAAATTACTAAAGATGTCAATAGGTTACGTAGGAATCAAGATTACATTTAAAAGATTGAAATTGGTATTGGATGAGTAGTTCAGTGGGCTAAAACTATTGTGTTGTTAGGCCATCTTGAGCAGATCACCAAATTTGGAAGTGAGGCAATCAAAACAGTAGGTAAAGAAACAACCCTATAACCCTATAATCAATATGATATTGATTTAATCTAAACCTTTTCCTTCACCTTTCATCTGCAGCTAAAATGCCTTTCACAGTGCAATGAAATAGCTACCCATGTTGATTTTAACCCAAGTTACAGATACAAAATAGAGATATAATGAATTTAACTAGTCTTAAACCCACTATCAATTTCCCCATCACAGCACCAGGCGTAACAGCTAAGGAAAAATGTATGAAGCCTTTTACACAGTAGGGTTTATATCCAATTAATAAGAAAGAACTAATAGCAAAGACCTGCTTTTACATTTAAGCAGCCTAAGCCCCATATAATACAAAGTCATCAAAGTGTATGCCAAGAAAAAATTCTCATTTGAGCTGTTTATTTCAAAGTGCATTGTTATCATAGCTGTCAGTTTTTTCCAGTGCATTCTTTAGAAATGAAACGGCCCATGGATTGCTATCATGACAGCTTTAGCATCAAAGAAAAAGATTCTATATTATTTGTTCAGCTACAGTGCGTCGTTCACCACAATTCCCATGAAACATTAAAATAAGAAATCCAATGCTACTGCAATGTGTCTCTGAAAATAAATGGTATATACTGGGCTTCATTGTAAAATGAATGACAGATATCTCTTCCCTGTGGTTGACTGCTTTGTTACAGCTTCAGTGAATTTAGTGTATCGATATCAGTGCAAAGGAGAGCAAGCAGCAAGGTAAGAAAGTAGCTGTGAATTCCTAATTAAAGGATTCAAGTCCAGAGATTTCTGGATTAAAGTCTGAAAGTTCAGGTTTTGTGGTACTTTCTCCTTTATTCTTTTTTAGGACGTTTCAATCATTAAACATTGGGAGCTTAATCCAGATTTTCACATAAAGAACATAGAATCTACCTCTCCATGATTTAAAGGGTTTTATGAAAAGATCCACGTATCTTTTACAGTCTTTGCTACATATTTTTAACACTGAAACACAGTAAACACACCTAAAACATTTTCATCCTGATTTCACATGCTATTGTTTTACTTTTCTCTTGCTGTTAAAATGGAGCTGATCAGGAGGTAATGAATTCCAGTACTTAAGAGGTGATTGTTTACATAGATTCCTTTCTCCACTATGTAAGTTACAGAGAAAAGTGAAATAGCAGTTTTATGTGCTGTCACACTCCCTACCAAGCCATGTATCCAAATCTATCGCAAGAACACTGAATTTTGAACTTTCATATATGAAGGCTCAAAAAATGTATCTGAAAGCTCCAATAGATTTACAGAAAGGGAAGGATTTCTTCCTTTCCATTTTTTTAATCAGTATTTCTTGTTTCTCCTGATATTTTTGTATTTCTTTTGTTTCCTTCTGTTTCACACTGTTCTGGAATTCTGGTACAAGATATTCATGTGCACCGAAGACAATAGCAGTAAAATTGCACATGATAATGTAACTTTTTCGGAAGTTATGCTGTGAACTTTGAAAGGTCTCTATAGATGCCAGAAATGTCCTAAAATTCAGTTGCTAACAAAAAAAGAAAATTAAATAGCAATCTTCTTTTTTTTAATAGGCCAGTCCAGCCATCTTGTGATTATGGAGAATGTAAAAAATCCACATAAATGTAGTTCATGTTTGACTTGTTCCTACATAAAAGAATGATAGAGGAACTAAATACAGGAATCTGCAAGATACTTGTACCTTAGCTTTTACCTAGGCAAAATGTCTCTTCTTATTTCCATCTCTCCAATGCAAGCTAAGGCTTGACTCGTTCACAGATAAACTGTCAGATCTTCATGCTACAACTACAGATGCACCATAGATGAAAACCAGACACTAATGAGTATGCTCTGGGATTTTCATCAACTGTTTTAACCATGTAAGTGCTTTACACAGTAACAATTCCTTTAGTAGTCTATGTGAATAAGTATTTACAGTCAAAACTAGAATTCTAAGTTTAGGTTTCAAAGGAAAATAGCACTGATTTTGATCTGAATTTGGAACGTCTTTTTATTCTTGCTTTCTTCTCAACAATAAAATATGATTTGAAACTATATACTTTAATAATTAAAGGCAGAAACAAAATGCCATATTTTAACAATTTTTGTTTTCATGTTAATGATCTAACTGGCTGTAATTCTGTTAATATCTGGCAGAGAAGTCAGTGTTAGTAGAAAGATGTATAAATAGACAAATTCCATCAGCATATTAACAGTCTTTACAGGTTTCCCAAGTAAAACTGTGGCTGGTGAAATGAGATATTGGATCAAGCCCTGAGTGCAGCACAGCCTGGTCCAAGAGAGCCAGAGAAAACTAACAGGTCTGAAGTCTGTGCCTGAGGATTTCAACAAGATTAGCAAAGGCTGATGAAGAAAAGGGGGGAGGAGGTAGGAAATTCCCCCCTTGGTTCCCCTTCTCCACAAGAAAGAGGACTGCTGGTGTTGGAAATATTTGTCACATTCTTTTGTGTTAGAGGCTGCAGGGTTCTATGTGGGTTGTGAAGAAGAGGTGTGAGGATGCAGCTCTGTGCACGGTCATCATTAAGACCATGCCATAAGGGAAAGACCTGGACAGCTGTTGCAAAGGGCAAGTGGAGAGTCGAGGAATCTGAGTGCTCAAAGGGTAAGAGAACACTGTAGCAGCCAGGTGCCTGGCTGCGAGTGTGTCATTCAGTAAAGAAGATAGCCTAATTCCCACTTAATATACCAAGAACAATTTTTACTAAACTACTTCTGCCTTTAGCTGTTTGCTTATCTACCTTGAATGCTGCATGCTGCATTCTCAAGACAAGGCATCTGGAAAAATAAATGATTTGTTTTCTCATGGAATTTTTCTGAAGTTAGATCATAAACTTCCCATGTGGCAATTTAGGTCATGAAGATGATATATGAAGACTGATGTGTTAGGTTTCTCTGACTGGAGAAGAGATCAGATTACCTAGAGAAGAAATGGGAAAGGTTACAACTGGGATCTAAGTGACTCTCTCTGAGCTCCTGTGAGTTCTTTCATTTCTAAAAGTAGCCAGAGTTCAGCATGGAAGAAGGAATGGGGAGGAAAAGTTTTGGACTATTTTCTCTCTCAGAGAACTCTTTCTCTTAAAATTCTGACAACATAAGCTAAATGCAACAAAGGTCTTCAGAAAGAAGTAGATTTGCAGGTAGTCACTGAGTAAATTAAAGATGAGCACCATTTTGAAGATCTGCAAAAATATGCAGTAAGTTTAATGGGAAAGATACTTACTAAGTGACTAGGCAACAAAATGGCAGGTAAATTTCAGAGATTACTGTAAGGTGACAGGTACAAGAAAAAAACAATTTCCTCGATGAACCCCAAGTTGACTATTACTATTTTGATTTGAAATCATGCCTTATAGATAGGCATTTCTATGAATATATCGCCTTGATGAGAAGCTGCAATGCAGACAGAAGGTTAGGCATTATTAGGAAAGAATAGAGAGAGAAAAATTTTACTACCCCACAGTAAAATATAAATTAAAGAAGTCCAAAGATCCTGAATACCTTGTGCAGTTCTTTTCCTTCTCTAGGAAATGACGTAGTAAAAAATGGGATGGCAATAAAGTGGATGCAAAATATGAAAAAATTTCTATGCAAGACTATTTTCTACTCATTCTGAAAAACAGCTGATCTAGAAGAACAAGACAAAGGTTTATAAAATCGTGAGTGTTACGGAAAATAAGAAATGGATAATAAGAAATTATTTTTCTCCATCTTTCAAAAAGTGGGAGACATTCACACCAGCAGTTAACAGGTTCAAAATTAAGAGAAGGAAGTACTTCTACAAGCATATATATTTAGCCTGTGGATCTCATTGCTACATAATGTTATAGATGCCAAAATCTTGCATAAATTAGAAGTGGTCTGGACAAATTCACGTAAGCAAAAATCTGTTCCAGGTTTTTAATGTAAATGGACCACCTCTAAATCAAATTCACCGCCTCTAACTCAGTTGGCTTCTGAGCCAGAATTTCGGAGAGTATACTGGGAAAAGTTAGCACATTGTTTGATAGAAACCACTTGTGTTTCACTGTTTATTTGTTTTAACCGAGGTTGACTTCTATGAACAGCAGAAAAAGGACAAAGAGCATGGTTTTCCTTACAGTGGAAGACGTATGTGTATCAACTTATTTAGTCACAAAAACACCACACTTTGTGGAAATAGGAGAATTGAGACAGGTGATCTCAGTGAGTTTTCTCAAAAAATGGAAAAAGACCAGTGTTGGAAACTCTAGGAAGAGACAACATCATTTTTCTACAGGTGGCACAGTATCTTCAAGATCCATAAAACCTCATCAGATGTAGTTTGAATAGAAATTAACATCTGTCATATTTCTTTATATGTGAAAAATTACCTGTATTTCTTTATGTCATGAACACACGGGGAATTGCCTCCAGGCTCTTGGCTCTTTGCCTTCGGTCCTCATAAAGTATAATTCTTTGAGGGGTACAGAATATCTTTTCAGTTCAACATTGGTGCTTATTTCTTCTGTGTTCTTTTGTTCACCTTCATGAGCTGCAGGAAACTGTCTCTGCTCTTCAGATATTTAGTATGCTCACTATTCACATTTGGAGACAGTGTTTGGGGATGAGTGGGTCCTTGGTCTGATCCTGTTCAGTTGTTCTAATGTTTCCATTTGTCTAAGTGCTTTCCCATGTGATAAAATCCATAGACCTGAATTAAAATATTTGCTCCTTGTGTGGTTCCCCTCCAACTCAGGAAAACGTTGTGATCTACCTAATTACTGGAGTTCATTTGAGTTAAGATGCAGATGAAAGACTCCAGCCCACTTGAACCCTCTTCTGAGGAACCTCTATTGAAGGAGCTCAAAAGTACTCTCTATCCTCCCTGGCTTTAGAATACGCTGTAAGGTTTAAGATCCAGCTCAGCTAGTAAAATGCTCTTTTGAAACATGGAAGATGTGGAATACACCATGAGCCATCAAGTCATACCAAACTGGCTTGGTATGAAATGGTGGTGAGCCCAAGGCTCCCATCTACTTGGTCTGCTGTAACCACTAATTTGCTAGTGGTTGAAGTTCTGTTCTGCTTGTGATGATTAGATGAAGCACTCCATCATTTTCTCTGTTAATAGTGAGAATTATAAAGATTAGGGAAATAAAGATAAATAAACATACATGCCTCAGGGGAAGTTGCCTGAATGAGACCAACAGCAGTGCAGGGGTTGCTGGTTATATTTCTTCTCAGAGGACATGGTCTGTTTACTTGCCAGATGAGCAGAAGACTTGATACACTTATGTTGCCTGTACCATACTCTGAATGCCACTAAAAAAATACTGAAAAAAAATACTGGATATAGCAGTTACAGCCTCTGTGTTGAAGGAGTCAATGATAAAGTTATATTGTCCTTAATGGAAGCTAGAAATGATCCAGTGTTTCGGTCTGTAAGGTTTATTATCACTTTGTCTTCCCTATTCATTGTGGCCAGCAGCCAAGCAACAACATTTCTTCAAAGCTTGGCAGTTAAGCTAAAATGCTTTGGGCTGCCAACACATACAGAACACAATATGTATGTAAGATGTGTAATAAGTATGGAATAATCAGTTCAGATATAGATCTGACACTTCAGACTTAGGTCTGTATAATTAGACTTTTTGAAAGGGTTTCTTTACATCTGCAATGCTGCACGTTCTGCCGTTGATCCTGCTGAATCCTGTTGACAAAGCAATATCATGATCAAGTTAAAACAGTCAGCAAGTAGCTTAAACACCAGTAGGTGTTTCTACCGTAGCTGGGAAATGAAAAATATTGCTAATATAACTAATAAATGCTAATAACATACGGTTTAAAAAACTGCATGTAAAAATTATTGTGGTATTATTGACATTTAAATTGGTGAGACAAAAGCTTGATGTTTGCAACCCATCAGTTTCAAATCAACAATTAATTCCTTAATTCAAGTCTTACGTAATGTAGAAAAGCAGTAGTGAGTACAGGATTCATACATGTACTTCAGAAAGTCAGCATTTCATTTAGTGGTTAACTTCAGAATCTCTTTTTCTATTGCAAAGACTACCCATAAAAAAAGAAGAAAAAAAAAAAAAGTGAGGATTAAACATGACCTTTTTAAGTATTCCACAAATTAATTTTGGTTGAGGTTTTAGGGAAAAGCAGGATAGTTTGTTGGAAAATGAAGAGAAGATGTTTAAGTAAAAAAGTTGAGAAATAAAATATGCCCTGTTCACTGAGTGTGCATACCGTTGTGCCTTTCTGAAGCAGCCAAGGTCACACTGAAAACTGGGGAGAATACAAAGCTCTTGAGCACAGTTTTCTGAATTCTCTGCTCAGTTTCACTAGCAACTCAGTATCTTGCCAGCCCACCTGACCTCTGACACTCTACTCCTTTCTCTGTAGCTCCTGGGAAAAAAAAAAAATGAATAAAATTCTCAAACGTTTTACTGGATGAAGGCTTTTAAGTACTTTAAGGCAGGTCTTTAATGTTTTGCTTCCCCCCCTTAACCCCCCCCCAAAAAAAAAGCATCAAATACAGAATCATAGAACACCATAAAGGATATTAGCTGCCACCATAATACAAATCATGGTAATACATATGATAATACAAATTAATTACAACACCTCCTTTGTGCAAAGCCCAGGCTGGGTAACATCAAACCATGACCTTGCCCTTAAGTATAACACACACCTGCATATTCTCTGCCTGCTGGTTACTTGGACTGCTGACTGCCATCCAGGATCCATCACATCTGCAGGAGGGATCCATCACAACTGTGGCATGGTGTGGAAGTCTGCCTCCGCACTCAGTGATCTTGGTTTGAGCTGCTGGTATTGTTTTTATTGTTCTAAAACTACTCATAGCATTGCTGCTACAAAATACATTACAATCCAGGTGCTGCTATGTTCTGAAGTGGTTTTGTAAGTAGTTTTACACTCATTTGTCAAATAAATGAACCTGACACATTCCTTAATACATTCAGTTTTCTTTAACTAATTGTAAATCAGTCTTCATCAGTGAAAAGTAACTCTTCATGCTCTGCTGGACCATAACCAAATATTATAACAAGTGATACTGAAACTGTGCATGACTTCAACAGATTATCAGGATAATTGCAAAGGCTTTCTTTTCATATGCCCAAAGATTACACTTACAAAATATCTTCTTACTGGCTCTGCACCTTATTTTCCAGACGGATAACAGAAACTAAGCCATACAATCCTGTCTCACTTAAACTGGAAAGTACAAAGGGATCAGAGTGTACAAACACAATTACAGGACCAGAAATTTCAGAAAAGAAAGTTTCCTACTAGAACTACAACAGAAACTTTGTGCAGCTCTTAGAACTGCCTTAGAGAGAACTTTTCATAGAATCACAGAATCACCAAGGTTGGAAAAGACCTCAGTGATCATCCAGTTCAACCATCCACCTGCCACTAATATTTCCCACTAAACAAATGTCCATAGTATAACATTCAAATGTTTCTTAAACACCTCCATGGATGGTGACTCCATCTTCTCCCTGGGCAGCCTTCCAGTGCCGAACCTCTCTTTCAAAGAAGAGATTTTTCCTAACAAGCAACCTGAATCTGCCCTGGCACAGCTTGAGGCCACTCCCTCTACTCCTCTCACTAGTTAAGCAGGAGAGCAGGCCAACACCCACCTCACCTTAACCTCCTTTCAGGCAGTTCTAGAGAGTTGAAACATCTCCTCTAAGCCTCCTCTTCAGCTGATTAAACAATCTCAGATGCTCAGTTAGCTTCACCCTTCCATGGCAGAACCGAGAAGCAACTGGTAAGTGCAGTATTGCTAGTCTCCCTTTGTTATTGGGTGCAAGTAAATCGGGGCTTGCTAATAACATGTTGCACTGGGAAAATACGAGAGGAATATTTAAATGAAATGTGGGATTGTGTACTTAAGAGACAAGTGCCACCTCCTCAGAATGTTTACAGCCTCTGGCACATCACTTCTTAAGACATAAGCACAGATACAGTGCTATATTGTACCTTAATAACTCCAGTGCCTTTTGGATGCTTTAGCTTTACATTCTAGCTCCTCTCACAAGTCTGGCTTTCCTTTCTCTAGTTCTCTGCAGAATTAAGGAACATATGTCTGCAGCATGTGGGTACATCAGGGATTTTCAGAGAAAGAAGCTGAATGAGTTCAAATCCTTTTTAGGGTATGAACTGCACAACTTTTCTGCTTAGAAACAGCTTTTTTACAATTTGCTTTGCACTTGTGCAAAAAAAAAAAAAAAAAAAAAGAAAAAAAAAACACAAAACAAAACTCATATATCTACTGTTTAATGAAGGGCAAATTTTCTTATGCTACTACCAAGTTACTGCTGCTGTTGCCCTCAAGCCTTTCTGCTTTCCTTATGCATGCTAGTGTGGATCAAAGTGCAGATAATCACTTCAGTAGGCCAGAAACTCAGCACAAAATACCTAATTTCAACCCAATTCAGCTGCTACTCCACTTTACAAGCCATCTCCCAAGCGGAGGGATAACAGGAGGTGCTATGGAGCAGAGCTGCTCAGGCCTATGTCAGGTACCATGAAGCATGGCAGAGGGGAATGTGGGCTGCTTCATGCCCATCTCTATTATTGAAATATATGCAGCTCTATGAGTGCCTGTTTACAGAGATAGATCACTTCTGGACACTATCAGCAGGACATAATGTTTCATAATGTCTCTCTCTCTCAGAGCTGAAGAAAGGATGAGTGATTTGCCCTGTAGGAACAATTAAAAGGCTGTGGGGAATTAATTAATTCTCTCAAGAGCCACAACAGTAGTACAAAGGGTGCTGGAGTCTAAGCTGGGATTTTCTGGCCCTCCTTGGGAAAGCACTTTTAGATCCTCGCTCTGGGGCTAGCAGAGGGAAGAGGAGAGGTTGCTCCTGCTCCTTACAGCTGTCAGGAATGGCTCGGGCTTCCCCCCTTGCCTTCAGCTGGCTGAAGCGAGGCATGCCTTATGCAGTAGGTAAAGGGGTGCGTGTGTGTTGGAGGGTGAGGGAGGAGGTGGAATATTATATTATTATTTAAATAAAAGGTCAATTTTAAAATTAATTTTCCTCTTTTTTTCTTTTCTTTTTTTCTTTACCCACAAAAAGATACGTTAGGAAAATGTTTGAGCATCAGTGAGGTGACAAAAATCATTTATTTTCCTGAAAAGCTGCCCCTTCCAAGTGCCACACAAGCTACAGGGACTTGGTCTCTCTTTCCTTTAGTGTGACAGGACACTGCCATTCCAGTAGAACAAAGCACAGCCCGGATAAGAAACACTGTAACTCCAGGCTGATTTCAGCTGATACATCAGAAATGACCAGAGCCACACTGACTTCGATAGAATTAATGCAAGTTACACTAGAAGGCAATTTTTGGCTTATGAAACTTCTGTAGAATATTTGTGTACAGTTCCTCCTGGTACAACCTGAAACAAAGTAGAGCCAATTCGCACATTTGAAATTGTCGTTCTTTCCTTGGTTCACTGATTAGGTTGCTATGTAAGTCCTCATCTTCCAAGAAAAGATTTGTTCTTTGTTATTACTGTACTAACCCTATCTGTGAACCAAGTTTTTCACTGTTTTTCCATGCAGCTCACACGACTCCATGTTCTTAATTCAAAAATAATTAAGGATTTATTAGATATGTGTGGGGTTGTTTTGTTTTGTTTTTGTTTTTTTTGGTGCACTGGGACAAATTCCTAGTTCATTATTATTGATAGAAAAATAATGAAGTTAAAATGTGGCCTATATACTGTTAGATTATCTTAACTGCTAATTTATTTTTATTAATAGTTTATTTGTTCTACTAAAGATTTACACAGATAAACGCACCTTATCATAACCTTAACATTACTAGCAAAGCGGATGGGACTCTAAACTCAGGTGACTTCAGGGTCTCCCAGTTTAGCATAATCATCTCCCTCTAGTCAGTTAAACACAGCAGGCAGAACAATATTTTTAGAAAGTACAGGAGGTGCTCATCACTCTGCAAACTGATTCAAGATGTAAAGGAAAATATTCACAAGGTACACCTATGTGACATGCTGCACCCGAACCTCATAAGAAATTCTAGATCTGCCACATGCTACTGAGGAGTTTGGGGTGCAAAGGGAATGGGGGCATTGAGAGCCACTGCAAAGCTGATGAGCTGCAGAGGTTAAGAGGTCTGCAACTGATAATGATTTTAAGACACAAGTATTCCTACCATGCTAGCACAAGGATGATAAGACTTATATGAATTATCAGAAAGTAATAATACAGAAATGTGAGATTTTCAGTTCTAGAGTGGGACCAAGAGAGCAGGTAGAGGATATATAGTTGATTCACAATGTTTTTCAGATATAAAACACAATACAGTTTCTTAAGAATACATTAGAGTAGGTTCCATGAAAAAAAAGTGTGGCCAGAGGAAGCAAATTAGAAAACGAAGCCATGGTTGAGAATTCATTTTACTTATTTTAAACTTCAAAATTAAATTCTGGCATAAAATATTTGATGATGAACAGATCAGGAAACAATTTACTTTCACTACAAAGCCATAAATAAACGTGAAAACTATTCTGGGTAACTGTTTTCTGTATTCAGATACATTAAAATTGTGTGGCTTTATAAACTTTAAACAAGTCTTATTGCATATAACCCTCACTAAAGAATGTGCACTTTGGTACATATGAAAATACTGGTTGAGAGACAAAGAGGTTTGATATACTGCACGTGCACCATTCATTAATTTTCCCTGACAATTTACATGCATAGCTGTTGGGTTATCCAAATATAAACTTGTACATACCCTGAGAGCTTGGAAGGTTCACACCCTTTTTAAATCCAGGCAACCTTTCTTCCCTGCCTAATTCCCATTAGGCCTCTATACAGTACTTGCCAGCAGGCTGAAGCTTGGCAGGTGTGGTCTTTTGTAAATTTTCCCCAGCTGATGTTTAAATGGAAATCTCTTGCACACATGAAAATATAATTTTCACCCAAATGCTTTCAGGATTGTGACCTCAATTTGAAAACTGCGAAGTAGGGGCTACATCCTGACTCCAGATCACAGTATTGCATGCCACAAACCAATAAAAATAACAAGTACTTGCAAATGTTATGCAAAGACCCGGTGTTGCTGAAATATATGCCCTCATTGCAAATTTGTATTGCCAGTTTCACTATGATTTATAATTATAGTGGTATTCTTATGACATGATTAAGTTTCTGACAGCTTATGTTTTTGACCTAACCACAAAATGTTATTCTGGCTATTACTCAGCATAGAAAAAGCAGTGGTGACAGCAACTGCTTCATGCTATTTTAATTCTTTATAAGAGAAATTGTTTAAGGACTTAAAATCACCATCTCACAGTGTGCGGAAGTTACTATGGAAACTCTTGTACTGAAAATAGTCATTTT